TTATATTTATGTTATAATTTTAAATAAATAATTATATATATATATATATATATATATATATATAGCTATCTCTCTCATTCCCTTCTTATCTTATTTATATATCTATCTCATTCTCATCTATCTATTTATCTCATTCTCTTAAGATAAACACTAGTAAGCAACTGTAAATTAGTCACATGAATTTCATTTCAACTTATGTGTTCGAATAAGCATAGAGTTATGAAACTATTATGTGAGGTTAACTCTCATTGTCTTTCTTTTATTTCTCTTCTTATCATTCATCCTTTCTGTCTCTCCCTCTCCCATCCCCTCTCTCTCTTTCTCTATTTTTTCTTTATCGCACTTCTTTTTCTGTCTGTCTGTCTGTCTGTCTGTCTGTCTCTCTCTCTCTCTCTATATATATATATATATATATATATATATATATATATATATAAAAATAATCATACATAGAATCAATCAGCAATATTAATGCGATTAATGGCGAAATCACTTCGCTAGGAGAACATAACGTATGCATTAAAATACTGTGAATCCATTGAATGATGTGATCCTCATTTATAAAACTGTTGTCAAATGTTTCTAGTGTATATTTTTTTTTAAGTTAAGCAAGTACTTTCGAAGATCCACGTCTTCATCATCAGGCTGTAATTTATATATGCTGCCTAATATTATATATATATATATATATATATATATATATATATATATATAATTATTGATTTAAAAATATGATTTCATCGCTACATAAGAGTTCTCATGTTTCAAATATTTACGTAACGAGTTCTTTCCTATTTTCTATATATTTCCACACACACACACACACCACACTCACACACACACACACACACATATATATATATATATATATTTATTTATATATATATATATATATATATATATATATATATACACACATATATATATATACCTATCTTCTATTGCATATTTTTTCATATTTACTAAGGTTATCTTCTATCAAAGACCTTATTAAAGAACTGTTTCAGAACCAGTCAGGTTTAATCTCTCTACAGCCGTAATAGCCTTGCTGTTATACCGCGATAAAACTATACTTAATGCTGCACAAGAAAATAAAGAAAATTGTTGTTAGAAAGATTATGTTGCGCCAATCTTTTATGGTTTGATTAATCTACATTCTTAAAAAAAACACCACGTGAATATGAGTCCTGATTTCTTGTGTTGGTGGGAAATTCATAAAAAATCAGTTTCAAAGGCAGATCACCTTTCTTTCTTTATCGTATCCTTTACTAGCTTTCTTACTCTCTCTCTCTCTCTCTCTCTCTCTCTCTCTCTCTCTCTCTCTCTCTCTATCTATCTATCTATCTATCTATCTATCACCACGCATACGATCTTGATGGAGAGGTCAGATAAATGTCTATCTATCTATCCACCAATCTATCTATCTTCCAGTTTGTCTATCTCGCTCTACGCGTACATGCTTGCGCATGTGTCAACGACTGATCATGAAACCCATTTCCGGTGTTACGTTTCGCTGATATTGACGATCGGTCGATCATACGACTTCGTGCTGACGTTCGGGAACATGTGAAAAAGGCCTTCAGTAAAGTTGACACCATGTGATTATACCAAATTGACAGAGTTTTTCGATCATTCTTTTATATAACATCATGTTGATTCAAAAGCAAAAATAAATACACAGCATATAATGTTGTATTTCGACAGCAAGAATTCTTTTAAACAACTTTTGTTGAACAATACTGACATGGTTTGTCCGTCCAGTTTTTTATTTAATAAACCTCCCCAACTTCCGACTAAACTGTTTTATACAAGTGGGTAATGTATTGATCAAATATATGATTCTCAGGCTCGTATCTTTAAGATTTAATTACAAAGTAAACTTTACGGCACATTGCATAATAAAATCTGACACACCAAAAAACAGATACCGCCATTATTTCTAATTGAGATGAATATTTGAACTCGGGTTTTTTCTTTCTGCTAGATCGGTTACCAACCAAGGACGAGAGAACCCCGTCTGGACTGTAATAAACCACAGTTGAGAGAAGAAATGGTTTCATACATTATCCAAATCTATTTGGGCGAAAGTGAATGCAATGAATTCGACTCGTAGATTTCTCTTTCCGAACTCTTAAGCATTACACTACCACCCACATCTATCTATCTATCTATCTATCTATCTATCTATCTATCTATCTATCTATCTCAAATTTCTCTCAACTATCCTAAACTTTTCCCATCTACCTATTTACCTATCTATTCTCAACTTTTCTTATCTATCTATCTGTCTATCGATCTATCTCAACCTTTTCCTATCTATATATCTGTCTATATATTTCAACCTTTTCCTATCAATCTCAAATTTCTCTCATCTACCTCAAACTTTTCCCATCTATCTATCTATCTATCTATCTATCTATCTATCTATCTATCAATTCTCAACCTCTTCTTATCTATCTATCTATTTCAATCTTTTCCAGTCTATCTCCGTCATTTTTGATTTTCTGTTTTGCCGATATACGAGAGATTTGTGGAAGTGTTAATTGACGAAGTAATTAAAAATAAGTTTTATAATAATGCAGACATATGAATATATGGGCGCACCATCTCTCTGTCTCTCTGTCTCTCTATCTATCTATCCATCTCATTCTCTTCCTTATCTATCTATCTATCTATCTATCTATCTATCTATCTATCTATCTCAGTCTGTTTTGATCTTGTTTTTGATTAAATGTTGTTTCCCAGTATCTTACTATTATTTGCGTAATAAAGTGGGTGTACCGGCGAGATAATAACAAGACGCTTACAATTACATTCGATACAACCCCCTTACGTTTTCCCCTGTGATATGTGAGAAACTCTCCCATCTTCTCTGGGGCCGTTGTTTATATATCCATCTATCTAATGGTTTTTCGTGCGTGCGCACATATTAGGCGCAGCCGTACGTCTCTCGGGGTTATTACTGACAGCGGACGAATCGACTGGACGCCGTATTAGGTCAACCATGCATCAATTCCCTTGATAGTCAAATGTGAACTTTGCCATTCCGACATAATACCACACAGTATTTCCTTTCAGTTGTGTCTCTCATCGCATGTAGTTTCCAGCTGCTTAATGGTATAAATGTATCAAGACATATTGAAGTATGATGGAGTAGCTGCTACCGACGAATGGTACCCGTAATTTGTTACGATAATTCTTTTTGCAGTAACTATAATAATAATAATAATAATAATGTCGTTTGATTAAATAATATCATTGTGGATTTGAGTTAGATAATGCCTGTCTGATGTAAAATTATAGCTTACGGTAGTGAGTGTTTGGGATTAAATTACCCTACGGAGTGCCTCAATTTTGCAGGGTGATATCGTTAGCCATTTGTTTGAGGAAAAAGTGCGTGTAATATACCAGCCAATATGGTAATTACTAAACCATAACGGCAAAATATATCAGATCGACTACATCGATAATATAATATTTTTACAGTGTATCAGATTTGTTCAGGAGCGTTAATCAACAAGCTGGTTGATTTAATCCAAAAGATGCCTCCCTATAACCTTAAGGTTATATAAACACGCAAACGTATCACCCTAACTAATAATATCGAACAGAACCTAGTTTTCAGAGATGACCTTTTCGAAATGAATAAGCAACTGTTTTCTATGTAAGCAATAGCCTCTAAAATCACGTGACCACGCTGCTCTCGTGTCAGTTGGAGGCCATTTTTCTCTCTCAATTTGGTATAAAATCTGTAATGGCTAGCTTTCGCTTTCTTTACGTTTCTGGATATAAGAAGAAATAGGGCGCCAATCACCTCATTCTCAATTATATATATATATATATATATATATATATATATATATATATATATATATATATATATATATATATATATAGCTTTTTTTCTTTAATTTAAATGCAATGTCAATTGCTATCTACTGTCTTCCTGATTACTCTTTTTCTTCCTGCTCATTAGTAATGTTTTAAATTCTTTCACACCCAGTAACCCCTTTTTGTGTCTTAGTGGCTTTGCCACCCTGCTTGTCGTGTAATTGATTAATATATATATATATATATATATATATATATATATATATATATATATATATATATATATATATTGAGATAACCAAAAGAACCCGAAAAAATATTAGTAAGATAGATAGATATAACATTTCCTCTATCTATCGCAACCGTTTCCTTTATTCATTTATTTATTTATTTATTTATTTATTTATATCTATCTATCTATCTATCTATCTATCTATCTATCTATCTATCTATCTCAACCTTTTCCTATCTATCTATCTATCTATCTATCTATCTCAACCTTTTCCTATCTATCTATCTATCTCAGTCTGTTTTGTTTTTGTTTTAATGTTATATTTCCCATGTTTTTACCATTGCCAATTTTAAAAAAAAATAGAAAGGTAATGTAAAAATACTGAATAAATCGTGCTTATTTTGAAAATCAGAATTCTTAATCCGAACTTTTATCTGAACTCGAATACCGACTCTAAGTGTCAGAGATGGCCACTTCGACGTGGTGTAATGGTTAACAAGCTTGTCTCTCTAGACCAATTACAACTGGGTGCCTCATGCTTTCGGCCTTGTACCACATCTAAACCACGCTTCCGAAATCACCTTGTCTCACTAGATCAATTACGACTGATCAATGAGTTCGAGCCTCAATGAGTGCTCCATACTTTCGGCCTTATGCCACATCTCAAATACACTTAGAAAATCACTACCACAGAGATGCCCACTTCTACGAGGTGTAATGATTAGAAAACCTGTCTTTCTAAATCAATTACGACTGAGTAGTGAGTTCAATCCTCACCTAGGTGCTCCATACGACATCTAAGCTATGCTTAGTATAAGGGACAATTCGACGTTGTGTAATGGTTAACAAGTTTGTCTCGCTAGATCAATTACGACTGAATAGCGAGTTCTATCCTTGCTGAGTGTTTCATAATTTCGGCCAGTTGTAAGCTACGCTTACTAAATCACTATAAGTGTCTGAGGTAAACGATCAAGAATGCATTTACCTCACTTCCACACTAAGGTACGATGTGACACAATGTTATTTTTTTAAGTTAGGTGGTCATATGTAAATATGTGAGCGAAGGATGAAAATTCAAGAGTCACCTCGACTACGGTTACGCTGATGTCAATATTACACGGAGACAAATTCCCTTAGTGCAAACGTGGGAGGTGCTGCTGTATGGTTGGAATCTACGTGACCAAACGCCGCCTTCTCCCCCCAATTAAAACGAGTAGAAGAAATACTTTGACTGCGATCTGAAAGCTAAGAGCGATAAATACCTTGGGGGGGGGAAGCTGGATATCGCTAAGTAAACCCATTTCCCCGACAAACTCAATTAAGGATACAGCGATATACTCCGACGATTTATTATATCAAGAAATAATTGAATCTTGATTTTTGATTACGGTGGAGTAATGGATAGCGGCTCGGATTGAGAGCCGAGTTCGAATTCCAGTCAAATCCATTACATTCACTTACGTGCTAATACCCTCGGCAAAGGTATGAATCCTCGTCTTCTTAAGGCTATGGGTAAATAGCAGAACAGACCTGGTTCTATAACCTTGAATGACAACTGGTCTTGCGCAGGAAGAAATGGTAAATGCTGCGGGAAAAAAATCTGCCTCGTCAGTCATGTATCGAAAGATACATGATCGCCTAAGCGTGTATCAAGCATGGCAGATAACTGACAGAATTTCACTTACGTGCTAATGCCCTTGGGAAAGATATGACTCTTTTTCTCCCCACGCCCTGCTATGGGCAAATAGCAGAACAGACCGGGTTCTATAGCCTATGACAACTGGTCTACCGATGACAAAAAAATCTGGTCAGTCATGTATCGCAAAAGAAATACAGAACAACTGATGTGCTGATACCCTTGGGAAAGGTATGAATTCTCTTCTTCTCTCGGCTATGGGCAAAGGAAACAGAATAGCCTTGGATGGAAACTGGTCTACCGCAGAATGTAATAGCAACCTACTGCGGGGAAAAGAAATCTGCCTCGTCAGTCATGTATCTAAAGATACATGATGGACTAAGCGTGTATCATGCATGTCAGATAACTGACTGAAATTCACACCCTTGGGTAAGTTATGAATCCTCTTCTCCCCCAGCACCGCTATGGGTAAATAGCAGAACAGACCGGGTTCTATAGCCTTGGATGACAACTGGTCTACCGCAAAAAGAAATAGCAACCTACTGCGGGAAAAAGAAATCTGCCTCGTCAGTCATGTATCGAAAGATACATGATGGACTAAGCGCATAAGTGAAGTGCGCAGATTGTAAGCACAAATGGGAAGAACTGCTTTAAGCCTAAGATATTCGACGTCCGTTTATGTATGTATCAAATTTTCCTTATTGCTATAAAGCTTATATTTCGTGGGCACACCTGTTTGGGTAGACATTCTGTGAGTTGTTTTATTTTTTTTTAATTAATATTAATAGTAATCTGTAGAAATAAGATATAATATTGGATTAAATGGTAACGGTAATTCTTAGCTTTTTCCCTAAAAAGGAAACATTCGGTATTTATTGACCGTGCAGCCCGTACTGCTGCCAGTTGAAGTTTATAAAATCTTTCTCCTTAAAACAATTTTTCAACCAAATAGGTTTCTCCACACTCTCCTCAATGATGAAGAACAGACTTGAAGCAACAGAAATGTAGTTCTACAGAATGATGCTGAGGATATCATGGTCCGAACATATGAGGAAAGGACAAGGTTTTAGAGAAAATGGAAAGAAAAAGGAAACTAATAGTTATACTTAACTTCAGGAAGCAACTGTTGAAATTTCTGGGTTACATAATGGGGAAAGTAGGCTTGGGATATGTCATACTCCCACGACAGATTGAAGGCAAAGGGGACAGATAATGAGCTTGAGTAAATGGATGGCTGAACGAAGTTTAGGGGTGATAACGAAAAGACAATATTTATTAAGAGATACATAAGACAGGAAAATGTGGAGAGCCATGATCACCTAAATCCTGAGAGGCACACAACACACATAGAAGATGTAGTCAAATAACCTTTATAGCTCTTTCTAATATTGATGGGGCTATTCTTCTTAAGCATTTGTTTGAAATAATGTCGAACGTCAACATCTTGATTATGTCATTATTTTATGTTCGAGTTACATGTGATGTTCATTAATTGATTAAACGTTACTTTTGAAAATATTACAGATACGAAAATAAACTGTCCTCGGTATGAGAATAAACTACATCCGCGTCCTGGGTAAGACGATAAACTACGTCCAGCAGCAAGGCCTCTGATCAGGAGATTTTGAGGAGCGTGGAACCTCCTCTTAATTGCTGGTGTTCCCAGGTCCACCATGACCCGGGGTGGTAACACCTGTTAGGGTCCCAGCTATGGGTAAATAGTTAACCCCCACCGAAACCGGAGTCAAATCACTATGAAAGTGTAAAAATAGGTTTTAATACCAGAAATATTTATAAAAAA